AGACAGAGAGAGAAGGAGAGAGAGAGAGAGAGCTACCAATCACAACACAAGGTCTTCACTCATCAGTCTTATTACCTTAGCGCGGGAGATTGGACTAGAAAAGCACTGATCAAATTGTATTTTGGACAAGACTTCACGACATCTTTCTGCCTGCATTCCTCCTGCTTCTGTTAAAATGGACAAGTCTGAGCTCCCCTACAATGAGTAATACAAAGAATGAGCAATTATTCATCTCAGATAAATTAAATGATGTCCATAACTGCACCAGATCCCAAATCAAAAAGGTGAAACGGCACCTCCAAAATCTGGGTGAAGATGTTAACTTCATATAAAACAAATCAACTTCCACAGGAAAGCTTACAACTACTGGAGGAGAACATCTATTGTAGATGCATTTCTGTGTATCTGTATTTTGACAACATGGGATGTAGATACATTGTAAGCTTAAGAATTGGCACAAAATAAATTTGGGATCATTATTTTCTCTTTCAAGATGTGATTGAAGAACTAGCATAGATAAACCCATTCTCAACTACTTCACAAACCACACTTGTGTATTGCTTCACCAGAAACACAAGATTTGTACCAATGACTTATTCACAAGCTCCTGATTTTTATATCTACGAGAACCTAGGTCTCTTTTAAAGTTAAAATGGCCACTTGTTTTATTTATAACTTGCTGCCAACAAGCATCGGAAGTAAACTTGGAGTAAGATGCTTCAACCAGGGTGAAGCATAACCAAAAAGGCTTATGTTGAGGAGAACCAGGCTCTTAGAGAAGAAAGCATTCATGAATGTTTGAATGGAAGCTGGATAGATAGCATGGATGAAAAATCATAATAAAAATTTCAGCTTCACTTTGAAATTTTAAAGAAATATCCTTCCCTTTTTATTTAGAAGAATCAGAAAACAATATTTTTAACAGTTTAGTTTTCACCATAATCGCATACAAATCCTGAGCATTGTTTGGTTTTCATTTCTTAGTCTTAGGAACCCTGTTTTAGGTAATCTTCATGGTCCCAAAACTAGTGTAGCGATGCATTCCTAATGATTAGAATTCCTGCTCATGTGAGTTCGGCCTGAGCATTTTCCACTAAGGTTGATTCATATTTTAAGGCATGAACTAAATCTGAGCATTGATGGCTGCAAAAACGTCACAAAACTAGATATAGAGGAAAGAGAGGAATGCCTCTAAACATCAGAATGCTTTAATAAGAAATGACCAATAATCTTTTAATTAATATGCATTAGCGTTTAAAAACTTTGGCAAATCCAACTTGGACTTGCCTGAGTTACTCGGAACCAGCACTCTGCCGGTTCCATATCAGCCAGACTTGGATGACTGAGCCTAACCCAAATTGGTGCTTCATGTCATTACACAATTTTTTTCAGTTCCCCCTTCTCCTTTGCATCTATCTAGATGCAATTGGACTCTACATATGGAGGGAAATTTTATGCTAATTTTTCAATGGAATATTTGGGGACATCTCAGGTTTGCTAGTGTTTGGAATTGTTAACTAAGTTATAATGCTCTTTCTTGTAGTCCAACAAAGGTTCCACAAAAATCTTCCCCAATGATAAACTGGGGTATAACCAGAAGGCATGAACAGATTCAATATTTCCTGCTTCTGGTCAATTATTCCACACTTGAAATTTGAGTTTAGACACCAATCCAAGAATATGCCATTCTGAATATATACAATTACATGAAGATACTTACCGTAGTTTCTAAAATAAGTAAAGACCATAACCTCGACATGGAAAAAAGGAACCAAAAAATGTGCAAGTGCACATATCCACTTCTTTGCAAAAGCATTTAGTTCACCATGTAATAAGCATTTAGTTCACCATGTAATAAGAAATATTGGCACGAGAATATCTTTAGAACAACTACAAAAGATAGAGATACAACACAGAATAATAGATCGATGCATCTAATTAAACTGCATGAGATTAACAAACCTGAATTCGACTCTCAGAATTCCAAGAACTAAGTCCATGCCTTACTAGTGTGACCTCTTTTGAAGTAGATAGAGGTTCATATGTGAGTGGCAGCGTGCCCCCTTTGAAATCAATTGCACCACCAGTCGTTGGAGCTTTGTTTACCAACTGTTCCACTGTTAGGGCATTATTCGAAGTATCTTGAGCTCGGGATACAATAGAGTTGGAGAGACCTGCAAGACCAGAGTTCCAAGATTCGGGTTTTGAGGGACTAACTCAGAGAATTCTTTTTTTAAGAAAATATATATAGCAGGATAGATGAAGGCTCACTGAGAAAAAAAAAAAGTCGTTGTTTCTGATTCATAGCGAAATTTGATTCACATACTCTTATGAAGCTGAGCCATTTAATAAAAATGGGGGGCCAATAGTTTAGTACATGAAAAAAATAAACCAAATTTTCATGAATAACAGTCATTATGCTCTTTTTCCTTGCTTCCCATTCATCTTCATGATTGTTGAAAAAACGGGTGAGAACAGAAGAGCTGTGTAAGAAAGATGCCAAATTTAAAGAAGACGAGAGAACTCCAGGTTAGAATTACAGAGAAAATGTATCCAAGAAGAGAAATTTAATTAAATGAAACATATGAGGAATTTCTTTCCATTTTCAATAAATACAAAAATACACGGTAGAACCAATTTATTTCTGAACCTTCAGCTAAAACTTAACAAAAATGAACTTCAAAGACATGGACTGAACAAGTAGCATACAATTATTTTTTTACATTAAATTATATAACCAAACCAGCTGATTGTGGTAAAGACTCAAATTTAAAATTATTTGTTTACATTAACTTATATAATAAAACCAGCTGATTGTGATAAAGGCTACAAATTTGAATAGTGTGTGAGAGAGAGAGAGAAATTTGAATAGTGGGTGTGTGTGTGTGAGAGAGAGAGATGGTACCAAAAAGGGTGGGACAGTTTCTCGAAAGGGTTGTATGCATACGTCGCGGGAATCGCCTGTTGATGAAAGTTAGGCGCTCTCCAAGGTGGGGTTTTGCTGCTATCACCCCTTCCATCTCTCTCCCTCCTCAAAATTCTCTCTCTCAAAACTCTCTCTCTGTTCTCTGTGTCTCTTGTTAAGGGCTTGCTTTGGAAAACCCGGTAATCCTGAGAGCAGCAGGTCTCGATCAGGCACTGTTATCTTCTGAATTGTAAATATCAGTTTCCCAACTCCAACCTCCACCGCACGAAATCAGCATGTACCCTCTCTCTCTCTCTACAATTTCTAGTAAGTGGTGAGGAGGAGTAGTAAATTTATCCACACCACTTCAGGAAAATAAAGTAGTTTTCTTGTATGTGGTGAGGAAGAGTTCAGGTGAGAGAGTAAACTTAACCACACTTCAGGAAAATAAAGTTCAAGTGAGACAGAGAGACGTTGCACTACTGCTTGCACCACTGAGGAAAATAAGGTAATTGTATTTGAGACCATTTATCTCCCAAGGTCACAATTATCCTTTGCATTACATGTTGTTTGGGGAATATCATGAAATTTGAGAAATTTTTTATGGTAGAACTTTGAGTCTAGTCAATATATGATTATATCGGCCCATTTGAAATATGAAAGATAAAAGTGATTGTGAGATCATTGTGTTAAAAATAAATGCTTTTTTTGTATATTTTTCTGAAAAATAAAATTAAACTTTGATGAGAGGACCTTTAAAAACCCAAATAGAGCTGGGCTGGAGGCGTCTTGAGGGATCAAGATGGAACTATCTTATTCATTTTTTAAGGACCTGTGGCAATTGCACTCAATGAGATGAAAGCATGGATGTTTTCAGAAATTATGGGAGCATGTAGCGAATGCACAAAGCCGTTTTAGGAGATTCCATGAATGTCATCAAGGGTGTGAAGGAAAACAAAGGGTGCCCTAGCACCTCAATCCAATTTTTTAATAAAATCTAAATTTAACCTAAGGTGAAACACAATCTTTGCACTGCTTAAGAGGATGTAACACCGAGGCTGACACCATAGCTGCAGCCAGAATAAGTTTGGTATTCAATAGATTATGATTAAACCTACGGCACTATTGACATTTTTGGTAACCGCAACAGCAAATTTGGAAGCGACTAATGGAATTACTCAAAACACTCAGAATTAAAAAGAAAAGAAAATTCTATTTGCTGCGAATAAAAATCAGGGTACCCTAGAAGAGTATAGAGTATTGGGGGTTGGAGGTGTGAAAAATGCGACTGGGGGAATAAACGAAGTGGATTAGCCGAAGAAAATGAGCAAGACCTTGTCAGAGCCAAAAGGGGGCTCCAATTCTTGGAAGTTACAATGTAACTTACCATCGTTGCTGCTACTACTCTGAGGCATTTAGTTCAGCAAAATTCATTTGAATACACATATATTAGAAACAAACAGCAAACTGTTTTGTCGGTTCTGACATTTACATTCTTCACATCGGATTCAAGCTTATTACATGTTTATTCTTTAACTCCTTTTTTCTTCTATATATATCAATATTGCCTTTTCCCTGAAATTTTCTCCATTTCAATGTCTTTCTAAGTTTCCATTCAACATGTCAGCAAGTGCAGTGCACAGATTTGAATCCTGTTACAATCAGATCAGGTCCCTTAAAAAACCATATATAACACCCACATGGTATCAATTGTAATCATGGTAAAACAGAAACAATATGATCGATAATAAGAATAATAACAAGAAAGAAGAGAATACAAAAGAGTAAACCAAGGCATTTGACTTAACAGTAAGCCACCTGGTTGGTAGTGAGAGGTCTTGGTTCCCACCCCCTCTCTGAAAATCAGCCAAACCACCCAATCAAGAAAAATAATGGATATTACAAGAGAAGGCTACTAATACAATGACCCAACTACCAGTCCTCTACTTAAGGGATAACAACATCTATGACAAAACGCTGGTTTCTTCAACATTTACATTTGCAGCTGCAATCCAAGCACAATTGCAGGACAAAATCTATAGCTTCACCCACATGAATCAGCTAGAATTACAAGATAAGAAACGAAGGAAAAACTTCCTACTATTTTGCACATTCTCATTCTCCCGAACTCTCACATGAGCTACCCAAGTTGGAGACTACATCATGCACCAACAACCTGATCACATGCCCCATTGATGCCATCAAGATATCAATGCATTCCTGCAAATCAGCATCACATGCCAACAAAACCCATTCTTGATCATCATCCAAATACTTAATATCAAAAGTACCCATCTCCAATTTGAGCCTCTTTGCCACCTCTTCATTCAATTCCACCACCCCCGAAGTAAAACGCAGCCGAAACCTGATGATGTCCTCCTTATATGAGGCCTTCACAGCCACACTTTTTATGTCAGCTTGGGTTTCTTGCACAAAGGGTGAAACAATAGCTGGTTGAAAAGGTGGGTGAGGTTCTAGAGAGAGAGGAAGAGGCTCTTGTACTCCATTTGGCTCGGGTAATTGCTCCTCTGGTATATCTTCCGTACCCATGTTACAAAGAGAACTCAAATCTTTACAACTGCCTGCATCGACAATGGGTCGGAACCCATCAAAGCTTTCTATCTCATGGATGAGAGAAGTGTGCAAGTTGTTCAATTGGGTCTCGCTAGTTGGGCTACTTAGGCATGAACCTTGAGAAGTCGGAGCTTCAGTGGCTTCATCGCCAACGTCGCTCTTACTCTTAGACTCATGCACAGTGTATCCAACATCACCAAGTTGTTGGTGAACATCTGATTCAATTCTAATCAGCGGTTCAACCTGGCTGTTAGGATGCTCCTCCTCAAGGGTTTTAGAGGGTGGTGTTTCTCTTTCTTTCTCCACAGAGTGATGAGAGTGCTCTTTAGAGGCTTTTAGATCGGTGGACAAAGGAATAGGACCCAGAGCCACAGGGAGGTTGAATGCCCCTTCTGCACCATGGACGGATTCAATCACTCGTTGCAACTTAGAGAGCGAACGGTTCACCTTGTTGATCTTGCGAGATGGCCATCGAGAGATTCCATGTTGCCTACATATGCGCTTGAGAGTAGTGGGGCAAACTGTATAGCAGAAAATTGAAGTTCAATTTTTCCCAAAAAAAAGAGGATACTTGGGAATCAAGAATTTCAGAAGAATAGGAAAATAGACAAAAGGGGATCCAAAGATTTGGGTCAATGCTAATAACTTCACAGAAAATTTGCTAGAAAGATTTTTAAATCTAGCTACTGCTCCATATATAAATGTTCATATGATATCTCTAGAAAGTAGACCCAAAAAAAAAGTGAAGAAAAGCATGACAAATGGCTATGAAAAAAGCATGTAAAGTAAGACTGCATCCAGATCCAGCATTGATATAGGATACTTAGTAACAATTGCAGCCACATGTCAAATGGTGTTTCAGAGCACTATGGACAAGACTTCGGATTCCTTTACTTAGAGCTATTACGCTTGAATGTGCCAATAGATCTGCAATTTACACAGTAGCAATCATGCCTTTGATGACTGCACTAAATGTATTGGGATGACTGCCACTTTATTCTACATAAAATTATGTAAGACATTATCCAATTGCCTCATATGCCTACTCCAGATCAAATAGCAGATATAATAACTAAATCTCTTGGCACTGACAGACATAATATCCTAGTTGGCAAGCAATTCATTTGTACTCCACTCTCCAGTATGAAGGGGATACTGAGTATGGTCTCCAGACAGGTAGGTCTATCCATCATTGTGCATTAGTAAATAATGAGAACTGCTAAAGGATTTTTTATTTTTTTTTATACTGTTAACGTTTTCATTGAGAGAAGTAACTGCTAAAGTGTATATTGATAGATTACTGCACCTCAGCCAGCATTTTGATATTATTGAAGGGCAGTAATGCAGTGTCTTGATCAAATAAAAAAAAAATAGAAAATTTATGTAATGAACATGATTTGTTCACAACAATCTAAAAATCCCAAAATTAAACACATCTTGATTTGTAGGAGCACAACATGGGGGGGCCCTTCGCTCATTTGGTCAGTCAAATATTTCCACAAAGATCATGAAGGGATATCGACAGATGAATATTATGATTTTAGTAGTCCTGTATTATTCCATCAGTTTAAGAGAGACTGTTTCTCGCTCCATACATGTTGCATCCGTCAAGGTTGACCAGTGCAGATTTGGCTAGTCAGACCAAGATAGTTTCTTACTGTGAAAATGTTGATGTATAAAGGTTGACGCTCCATAGCAGCAAGCCAAGCCGGCCAGTCTGGTCCGGTTTACCGGTTTACTGCTTAAGCAGGTAGTACCAATTTACCAGGACAAAGTAGAAAACCTAGACACAGACATGGTTCTGGAAAATGTCTGTGGAAAAGAATTAATTGATTTACCTATGAGATATTCTAAAAACTTTTGTATGCTAAAATGCACTTTCAAAAATAAGGTTGGAATGCTTAACCAGCATAGAAGGACAGAGAAGAGTGCAATTTGGTATTCACCTAAATAGGTGGGAATACCTCCAATACTTTTTGCAGCAAGCCAAGCCGGCCAGTCTGGTCCGGTTTACCAGTTTACTGCTTAAGCAGGTAGTACCAATTTAACAGGACAAAGTAGAAAACCTAGACACAGACATGGTTCTGGAAAAGGTCTGTGGAAAATAATTAATTGATTTACCTATGAGACATTCTAAAAACTTTTGTATGCTAAAATGCACTTTCAAAAATAAGGTTGGAATGCTTAACCAGCATAGAAGGACAGAGAAGCGTGCAATTTGGTATTCAGCTAAATAGGTGGGAATACCTCCAATACTCTTTGCAGAATCCTTGAGACTCCCAGCAAAATACTGTTTGAGTACCTCTAAGCTTATTGTCTTCTCGGCTTTCCCCCTCCTCCTTTCTAAGCCCTTCTTCACATTTTTACCCTTAGAAAGAGGAGCAGCAGCATGTTCTTGTTCTGTATTTATCAGTTTCCCATCATCCTTATGGACTTCAACCTCAGAAGGCCGCTGCTGCTCCAAAAGTTGCAACTCATCATTCTCATGAGGTTCGCCACTTTCTTGAGTGATGTGAACATTAGCACAATTTTGACCTGTTTCACCTTCAATCATCATATCACCTCCCCCATTCATAGAACCTTCAATTATTTCTAGCACATTTTCCTCCATCAACTCTTGGTCGCTAACAACCCTTAAGCTCCGGCGACACCCTTGTATAGTTGTAGCTAGAGAATCCAAAAGGCGCTGCTGCTCTGTAGTGTCTTTGCAGTTGGGTGGCAAAAAAAACTCCAATATATAATCATCACTCCCAGTATGAGTGCTTCTTAGACATATAGCAAGGGCACCGGCTAATCCAAACATGCGTGCATAGTGAACAAGGGGGTATTCGGTTTTGCTAAATTGAGTTATGTCCCTCGAGAAACGAGGCCTATGTGATTCAAATGCCCTACCAGTTACCCCTTGACCCTTTTGCAAATGATGTTCTGAGCAAGCATCCCTAAACCCCCACATATGAGCATCAACAACATAGAATGCCACATCAGTTGTTGACATGCAAACTTGTCCCATACAACTCCCATCAAAGCTTGTGCAACTCTTCCTTGAACCACCCCCATGGGCAAGAACACTTCGGTGGCGACATGGAACCCAAGTCTGGGCTAAAGGTAGACTGTGGGTCTCACAAACCACAGTTACTATTTCCAAGATTTCAGCCAAGGCAGCTTGGCGGCCTTCATTACATATCTGATCAGAAATAGAATTAGGTTAGCAGTTATCCAATTGGATTCTTGACATTGAAAGTTTCACAGGCTAATAGTGCCTAATAGCCTTGGGTTTTCTTTCATTAAAAAAAAAAAAACAGAATGGGGCTCTTAGGTTTTCTTTCAACTTAACCCCCAAAAATGAAAGAGAGAAGAATCAACCATAATAAACTCACCTGCAGATTTGGATGATCCAATATTTCAGAACTTTTCAGATTTACAGCCTGCAATGAATATGTAGCATGTATGTCAGGTGAGACATAAAACATCAGGGTTTTTTAATAAAGCGTTAGCAGACGATACTGCATAGTCATCTTTCATTTCTTTTTGAAGCTTGAAGAAATAATAATCACCGTCATCATCATCTACATCTTATCCCAATCAATATAAATGATAAAAAGCACTCACAAAAATCTATAAAAGGAAGCAAGCTCAAATTCTTCCAAAACTAGAGGTGTGGATATGAAGAAACTTAAATGGCTCGATGGAAGAATACATGCTTTCAGTATATGTAACCATTTCACATTAAACCAGCTGAAAAGTATAAACTGAATCATGGAATTCAGTTCCATCCTGCCATACCATAAGATCTCACAAAATCTTTCCAACTTATCATCACATACACTGACTAGTAGAAAACTCGTAACTGAAGCAGAGTACACAACAAATGTCAACTACGAGAGAATGTTCATATACATGTGCTAATTCATGAGACTGGAATCAGGTTGACCTCCTCATCTACATTAGTGTGTGGAGGCGATATTAATGATATTGCTATCACGAAGAACCTTGTGTTTCATGAATGGTCGAAACATTGAGAGGCGAACTACCATTTTGTCTGCCAACATTATTTCTAGAGAAATTTCTCTCCCACATATGGGAAACCTCCTCACTAAGAAGATGATGCAACCTCACAAGAGTTTCTAACACAAAAACAAAATCTCAAGTTGACATATCCAGATGATCCCCTAGTGTTAATAAGACAGGGAGTGCTATTACATGTGTCAGGACCTAATTATCCTTCATGCGTTATAATGAGTATGCTTTTCCATTGTGTAGTAGAAGGTTTTGTGTGTTAAGTTTATTTTTTTGAGAATGTTAACATTGTATTACTATATGTTTTAAATACAAGCAGTATCCCCTAATCAAGGGTAATCGAATGGATGGATACAGTCAGAACTAAAGCAAAAAGCTCCCATCAAGAAAGAAAGCCAAGGGGGCCCCAAACCACTAGGGCCCAGGGCCTATGGCTCCCTCTTTAGCCAATTCATCACGAGAGTTACACTCTCGCCACACATGATTCCAAGAGAACATTGTCATTCATCCGCAAGAGAGTTACACTCCCTCTTTTGTGTGTAAGCTTATTGGTCTTCACATAGTTGTAAGCTCAATAGTAGTTCTACCCTAAGTCATTGTCTATACAAGTACTAAGTATTTTATTATTCATTAATGAGATTCATTCTTTCCCTTCTCTCTTAAGTTTGATCATGCTATTATAGAATCCATTTGACACGTGCAACTAAACCTAGACATGCATTACCTTGATCCTAAGAAGCTATAGTTCCTTGAAGATGATAGTCCACACCAGAAGATGGCACAAGCTGTTTAGGCAATTCCAATGCAAAACTGGCTGCCTCTTCACACCCACCTAATGGAGAATCCGTTTTCTACTATTCAAAAACAAATACCAAACAAAATGAATACAAGAAGGCTAACATAAGCTCAGGAAGCATGATTTTTAACGACATCAACATTACACCTTATCATATAGCAGTTAACTAATTACATGGAAGCTCCAACTATCCTCAGTGAATGCATACCAATTTACATCAAATCCATAAATCAAAAATTCAAGTCACCAGTTCCATAGGCAAAATGGGATGCACATGCAGCAAAACATCATGCAAGAAGCGAAATTCACATTCTTATTGTAGCTTTTTCCACATGCTCATATCATAGCTTTTCTCAACCCGGTTGAATTGCAAAAGAACACAGGTCAAGAATGTTAAACCAAACTAACTTAAAAGGTACAAAAACATTAAGAAACAAAGATAAGTACGTAGACACATGTACTGGTTTCTTTTCTTTTTTTTTTTTGATTGGCGACGGAACCATTTGTTTCATTGGGAAAAACTTTTAGCCTACAAAGAAAAAGAAGAAGCAAAGTAGACCATATGAGCACAAACCTCAAGAGCCTTACAAACTTTATCAACCTCAGGAGCATAATTTATCTTCTGGGCTGTCATGATAAGCTCGACAACACCAACACACGATTGCCCCAAAGGCTCGAACACTGGCAAAGCTAGTGTTCCCCGGACATTGTAATGCATAGCATGAGTAAGTCTTGCGTATTCGTTGCTGCTATAATACTGAACATTCGGGGTCCATTCAGGCAGCTTCTTTCTAAAAACCCGGCCAGGAAGTCCTAAATCACTATCCTTCTCAGGATCAGTCGAAAAAACATACATAAGAGACACAGTCCTATATTGGAGAAGGCCATTGCTATGGGGGTCAAGAACAAAGGGTTGGCCTGAAGTGGTGAGAACATATTTATCTCCATTCTTAACAGGTGCCCAAACTTGAACTAATACATGCTGCTCTGTAGATTCCTTAAAGTACCGAAGAGCCTGCATCATCCTTGCCTTAAGAACACAGGAACCATCAGATTCAGACCTTTCATCCACAACCCAGTTCTGATTATTCGAAGCCTTATCTGATTTTTCATTTGAATTGCTCTCCGAAATCACAATAAAACCCCCAGTTTGGTTCTTTTCTGAGAGGCCCATCATATGATTTGGACCTGGAAGCCCATTCGAGCCATCACAGTTGGTTAAATCGATGGATTTCTCCTGTTTCAGGCCTGATTCAGGGTCAATATTGCCTGGAATTGTAATTTGTGGATCGTTTTCTGAAATTTTAAGGGGAAAAGAATTGTCTGAGAAAAGCCACATGGGGCTATAAGATTCAGGGTTATACATGGTTTTAGGAAGGGAAGATGAGGCTTCGAATTGTTGGGTAACTTGCGTTTCAGTGGTTTTATCAGGCTGTGTAGGAAACTGACTAAAATCAGGGATGTTGTGGCTAGGGGAAAGTGAACAGAAGGAGAGTTCCTGGCAATTTGGAGAGAAGGCGTAGCCTGATGCAACATCTTCATTTGTTGATTCATTTACCCAAGCACCATCCATGTCCAAATCCAAATCCATTCTTCTTCTTCTTCCTCTCTCTCTCTCTTACATGTTGTATTGCATTCTCTCTCTATTTCCGGCCATATCCACTTCCAGTTCCAAATCCATTCTCTTCTTCTTCTTCTTCACCTCTCTCTCTCTATCTCTCTCTTACAGGTCGTGTCTTTCCATTCTCTCTCTATTTCCACTCATCCACTTTCAATTTCAAATCCATTTCTCTCCTGCTTCACCTTTCTCTCTTAAACCCGGAGAAAAAATCAATGGCTTTTGCCACCCTGCAAAAATATCACCATTACATGAGACGTGATGGAATAAAACACCAGCCAGAAAATAATAATAATAAAAATAATGCTGTAAAAAAAAAATCTCCATTTCCAGCTCGATATATTAATGGCTGGAACCTTTTTGACATTGTTAACATAATCCAGTATGAGACAGTACAAAGAAGCAGCCATATGACTGAATCAGAATCCATAGCTTTGCTTCCCTTCTTTAAAATAAGGAGTAGCGCCTCTCTCTCCTAAAAATTTCGAAAATTATTTCTTGCTCATTTAACAAAATTGCATTACGTCTTGGTCCTATAACAAATCCCGATTGTTTCTTAAGAAAATTAGTTCTTGCTCATAATATTGAATTACTTCTTTAGAAATTTATTTCTTGCTCAGATAACAAAATTGGCCCGTTCTCCACGGGCCCGTATACTATGCTTCCGGCGGACTATACTGTTCATATACCACTACTTGAAACATGCATTTGGGAATTTTTTTTAAAGAGTAATGATCCTGTGAGACCCTCCCACGTTCATGTGTCTCCAAAAGATCACATTAAATTTAACATAGATATCCATGCGATAACTTTTCTAGAGATCCGTAACAAATTTAATGGTGATCCTTTTGGGCCCTACACCCATGGGTGTGGGAGGGCCTCACAAGATCAGTACTCTTTTTAAAATATAAATGTTTGAGAACCATGTAAGAATTATTAGTTGATTATTTTCAAAAAAAATTGTTTTGAATTTTGAGTTTTGTGAAACTTAGATCTACTCTTTCATAAATTGTATAATTTCTATTCAATCTTGAGGCATTTGTTTTTTTGGACACGGTTTCTATGCAGCCGGCCCATATATGGTGGAAGAGAATATATAATGTGTAACATGGAGATCATGAATGTGAAAATAAAATAAAATTTGAAAACTAAAAATAATAATTATATTAAAAAACCATTTGGACTGTTAGTAACATTGTTTTTAGATGGACTACCTATTTGCATCCATTTTTAAGATTGGTGTTTCGTACCTTTGAACCGCATAATGTAGAAATGCGGTCCAATCCGCATGAAACAAATTTCCTTGTTTTTAAGTACAGAGTTAATTTCAAATTATTTTTTTTGAGATTAGTCTATACCTTTTTTCCAATACAGAGTTGAGTTCAGAATTTTTTTTTTTTTTTTGAGATTAGTGGATAGGTTATAGGTATTACACTTCCAAAACTTGAAATCTAAACAGCATGCTTTTGCTCGAGAGAGTAAATGGATAATATACTCCCACAGGAGTAAGAAATCAGTTATGAATAGAATATTTGCAAAGTGAGTCGTAATGTGGGGTATGACAGTGATTTATTATTTTTTGACATATTTAAGATTTTGAAAATATGATTTTTAAAAATTTTTGTGGGCTTAGGTAGTGGAAGGTGAATAGAAAGAGAGAAGGGTTCTTTCTTTCCTGCAAATTGGTGGCTCCCATCGCCCTTACAAAAGACAATCAAAAGAGATCATGATCAACTTACTTAAGCTTAAATATTAAGTATGGAATATACTATTTATCCACACCTTTCATGAGAAGGTGCTGGTAAGGTACCATATTTTGATATATGCTATGTAGTGTGGGAGTGGGCTCAAGGCATGATCAGGGTGGCGGGCTCCACAATTTGAAAGGTGTTTGGTATGCTTTCCTGTTTAAAAATCCACCGGAAATCCAAGGGTTCCCAATGGAAGTACCCCAAGGTGAACTAAACTTGCTGGTTCTTGTAGGGTATTCACGTCTCCAGGAAGTCGGGGGAATTTGCTCGTCTCCCATAGTTTTCGCCGTTTTAAGGGTTTTTTCACTGAGCACTGATTCTTCATTTTGGTTCTCATTTTAGCCTCACAGTCATTTATCCATGATCTTTCAGTATTTTTCTTCTTTTTTTTTTTTTTTGGTGTGAGTCAGTGGGAAGAGGGCCCCTAATTTTAAAATGATTTGGTCCCTCATCGTTCATTTCAGGGTATGATCCACGAAGGTCGTTTATTATGCAAACCAACTCCTATAACCTTGGAAAAAAGAGAGACATTTGTACAAACTGATTGAATAGAAGACGGTACCCACAAAATCTTTCCGGATTGTAATGCTAGCCATTAGATCTCAAATTGAATGGCTAATGGCTTGGGGTGTGGTACAAAGTTTGAGAATTTCTCTTTTGAACTTTAAATGTAATCAATAACATACTCACAACTATCTGATTCGAAATTTGATGGATAAAAAAAGTAAGTAGTTTCTTTATATTCTTTTCCAAATCTTAAACGTCGATCGTTTTTTTCGAATGTAATCTTAAACATCTACATTTTGAAGGAATGGCTATGAAAATAGTCTAGAATCAAGAGTATATGACTAAATAAAAGGCCACGACATCAACTACGAATCCATGCAAAATTCAATGAAGGATTAAGTAACGAAGGATTAAGTGATTTACAAATTGCTGACCCGGATCAGGAACAGCATCAAAATTAGTGAGGGGACTGACAGTGTTATTTGCTAAAGTTAGGTATCAGACTGATTTAGAGGAAATCGCCCAATTCTATCAGAAATATGAGCAAATCTTCCGGTGAAACAGGCAATTTGGCTCAGCTGAATCGCAATGGTTCCCACCTAATCTCTTTTAAATTTTTTGAAATTATTAATTGTCTTAAAATACAAAAAGGAAAAATTTATATTCTCCGAATCGGTAAGGGAGATCTAGATAAAAAATGGCCAATCTGGATCAGGCCAGTAATTAGCGGATTCTCACTCGGCCTATCCGGATTTTTAAACATGGGTCAGAGTGTATACTGTATAATATACTATGGAAAATGCAAATAACAATTTTGTAATCTCATTGTAATCATCATTCATTAATAAAATTTTGTGCTCCGGTAAAAAGATAAAAATAAAATAAAAATAGCATTTCTCATATCCATAATTATCTCCCTAGTGGTGTAGCTTTTGATTAACCTGAGCAACTGAACTTACTAAAAAATCGAAACGGCGTAGGAAAAGGACAACCCTTCTCGAACCACATGTTGTGCTTGCAACAAATAAGACACCGTCCCCAAATCATTGTTGCTTTTGAAGTAGTTAACAAACCAACAAAACGGTACCCATCATAGCATACAAAAAGATGCAAAATACGACACCTGATATAGTCGCAAAAATTATGGATAAGGCACATCAAAGTGATTCTTTGTTAGGCTTATATGCATTGTTTTGAGTATATTGTACATTTACTCCCTCGGGTAAAATCCAATAAAAAAAATATTTTAGTTCCTTAAAATCTAGCGATCGAACCTCCCCCAGGACCCAATGACCACCCCCCCAAAAAAAATAAAAAATAATCATATGTATTTTATACTGAAAACATATAACATCTTAAGATTGAATAAGAACGTTTAAGATCTCAAAAAAAAAAATTACCTATTTTTATTTTTAGAAAAACTTCTAAGGCGGTTGTAAAGTGGATCCCAAAACTTCAAATAAAATTTTTTTTCCCAAAGTAAGTGCTTTGCTTGAGGGAGTAAATGTATAGATTGCTCCTACTAAAGTACATTGTATGTCAAGAAAAAGGACTTGGAGCATGGTGGGTAATGTACTCATCATGGGTATTATAGGAATGTGATTCTACTTTTATCCACTTGAGCCGGAACCAGATCCGAATGGTCCATTTACCAACTGGCCAAGACAGTCCTATTTTGTTTAGTATACATATACGTTAATGGTAATCAACAATCATTGCATTCCTTTTTTTCTTTTTTTTTTAGGGTGCTTGCCATCTTAACCGTCCATTCTAGATGCAAATGCCATGTTGACTACATCTAGAATGGGTTGGTGGGTCCAATCCAAGTAAGGGTGGGACCTGTGCCTTGTAACCATAGGATCTATCTACTCATTCTATATGGGACGCCATCTAGATGCATCTCAAAAATATTTGTAAGCTTAGATGGAAGTCTCAAAAATATTTGTAAGCTTAGTTGGAAGAAACACACATTCGGACTAAGATTTTATTTATTTTATATTTTTTGTCAAAGAAGGGGTCCCCTAATCATAATAGGAATGGAACGCAAAACATTAGGGTTGCAATCGGGTCAGGTCAGGAACTAGGTCTAGGTCTGGGTTCATGTTTTGGACACGACGGATCGGCCTCAGTTCCAAATGATGGCTTGGACCCCTATTGACTCGAGTCTGAGTCTAGGTCGGGTTGACCAGACCCGGCTTCTATAAGTCCATGTAGAAATGAGTCACCTATTAAAACTATATTTTTGAGATGGATATTTGGCTTAATTTTTAAGTACATGTAAACTCTAACATGGAGATCATGACTGTGAAAATTAAAAATAACATTTCTATTCGGCAAACATTTGGATTGGTAGTTTCAATTGTTTTTAGATGGACTGCGCCCATCTTTAAGATGGATGGTTTTATACTTCGGGGACCGCAAATGTAGAAATGCGTCAGGTGGCGCATGAAATAATTTTCTTATATGTATATAGACACGGTTAGATGCGGCCAAGCCTGCACATCTAGAAATGCGAGCCCCTTAATAAATTTATTTTTGAATTAGAATTCGATCCTAATTTTTAGAGAATATATTTAACATGGAGATCATGAATATGAAAAATAAATAAAATTTAAAAATTAGAAATAATAATTCTATTTTAAAAAAATTTGGACTGTTAGTTTCAATTGTTTTCAAATGAACTACCTATTTGTACCAACTTTTTAGATAGATGCTTTATACCTCAGGATTGCATATTGTACAAATGCTATCTCTCTATCTCGTAGTTCGGTTTGAGTCCAAATGACTTGGACCTAAAATTTTATAAAAAATTTAAATTTTTTTGGCAAGAAAGTCACAATTATCTTTAGCCATCATACGTGAAAGTCACAATTACCTCTAGCCATCATACGTAAAATCAGGAATGTAACAAGGTTTGAGCAAAAACTTTTAGGCTTTAAACCCATACATGACACACTTCCAGTGGCTCGATTTCACATCTACCAAAACTACATGTATAATTTCTCTCTCCTCTCATATTATCTTTAAATTTTTTTTAGAGAAGGGTGAGGTTTGTATTAGAGATCAACCTTATACTCTTGAAGTAAGGTTACCTCAAAACTGGCTACCTCAAAACTATGTCAAAATGCAGTTTTGATGCCACAAAGCCTTGCAATGATATTAAATTCTATAAATAGTGAGATCAAGCAATGCTATAAATATTTGGAAATCTTGAAAATGGATGATCCATATAATGTATTAGAAGATGAACTATTTTTAGGACTATAAATCCCCTATTTTTCATGTCTAT